CAATGCACAAAACAATGAAAAGCAGTTTGTACAAATCAAATCGGATTTATTTGCATTTTCCAACCAGACCAAATTACAAACACTAACCTGAACGGAATTAAAAAAACTGCAAACTAAATCAAACAATAAATAAGTTATAGCAACATACATAATGAGAAATAAACCAACCTACCTTATGATAAAATATACCAACCTACCTAAAGATAATCCAGGAAATATCAAATTGTTTCTAGTGAACGTATAACACAACTATGTAGAGAGACAAGGTCAAAGTTCAAGCTACTTAATTAAAAATCCATAGATTGTGCTTGCAATCCCACACATGTGTCAATATGTTTATTTGTGGCAGAAAGTTACACACTTATTTATGTCTACACTGTTTTCTGATAAGGCACTTGTGATTTTGCTCTTTTTATGTATTGTTCTTTTTTTGTGTGTGTGTGTGTGTGTGTGGCAATAATCTGAGCATTGCTGTTGACTGTTGATTATGAGGGTTTCAGTACTGATACTGATGCGGTTACTGCAACCTTTCGGCTGGCTAGAGAACACGAAACACACACACACACGCACACATACACACACACCCATTGTGATTGTAAAAATTAAAAGTAAAGATCCCTTTATACGCCTTAGGTGCATTTGGCATATGGGAAGAGCACCCCAATTTTTTACAGACCAAGCGGCACTAGATGTGTAATGTGGTCAACATTACGCCGGCCGCCTTTATTTCCCCAGGACTGCCATCCTGGTACCTATTTTAGGCTGGGTCGACCTGCAATGCCGCAAACCATGATAAAAATCCACGCAGCCAGGAGTGTGTTTCGATCTCCGTACGTTGGAATTACGATTCGGACTCGCAACGCCTAAGCCACGGACGTCGCTTTGTGATTGTAACTGATTCAGAAAGCATGCCGAGGAAAGTGAGGAGAGGCATGCTGCGTGCAAAGTGGCCTGCTTCGGAGGTCACGGATGAGGAGCTTTGTTTGGATCTCTTCTCCGGGGCATGCCGGTGTGTTGGGAAATAAATAGGAGGCAAACTGGCTGGCTCTGCACAACTTGATGAAATACAGATGCCTGTCAAGGCAGGCGGGGTCAAGGCCTAACGGCAGCTCGTGTACAGTTCGGAGGAGCAAATAAATCATCACAGTCTAGTGAGAGTGATGCAGCGAGCAGTGACAAGGGGATCTGGCCGATACTTGACACTTAAAAGAAAGGTAAGACGGACGTATAATCAGACTGATACTGGCACCATTGGCATTGGGACTGCGCTTGCTGCTGAAGTTGGGGACGAAGCGTTTATGGGAATTCTGTGAGTGCTAGTTCAATATGTACCTTCCTGTCTCTTTTCTGTCTTACACTGACACAAGAAGTAGTAAGGATTTACCAAGACAGTAACGACATATTTTATTTTAACGTCTGTAATTAAAGCTACCAGGCATGTCGTAAGAGGCGATTAAGAGTAGGGTTAGGCTTGGGGTCGGCTACGAGATCCTTTAAAAGCAATGGCTACAAACACTAATCAACCACCAAAAGTCAAAAAGACAAGCAAGAAAAGCCTAACCAACCAAGATGAGGATGAGGTTCTTCTAATAGCAGAATTGAGGAGGGAGATAGAGAGTGAACTCTTTCAGCCCCCAAACGATTTACTGTAGTTGCCTAAAGCGAGGGAAAAAAACAACTCAGAAAAGAAGCTTAGAATGCCAGAATTACAAATAAAACACTGCTTGAGACCACGTAAGTTTTAAAAAAAAAAGGGGGGGGGGGCGTGTAGTGAGACATGAAGAGCTGCTTGCAATAGCGAAGGAAAGAAGCACTTGACGTGAGTTGATTGAGGGCTCCACTGAGTGATAGCAGGCAGAAGAAGAAGAAGAAGAAGAAGAAATTCGCTTGCCTTACAGAGTTGCACATAGCAACGTATGTAATTAGATTATCAAATATTCAGTTGTGATTCCAACCTCAAGGCAAACGGGTCATCCCACAATTGCTCTGTTCCAGTGAAGTGAAAAACCACATAAAATGGTCATCGCTGTTCTAGCTGCAGTCCTGGCACAATGTCAGCAGATCGCACTATATTAGGCAGTGACCTGAGATGCAACACCAACAGTCTAACACTATAAAGGCAGTTTATAGTTTAGACCTGAATGCAAAAGTGGGAAAAAAGAAGCACAAACATATTGTAGGGCAATTTGTCATGGAATTAAGGAATGACAGAGAAGACAGATTGATACAGTTTTGCGAAGAGAACCAACTCATTATCTGTAAAACATTTTTTCAACCTCCACCTAGAAAACTATTTACGTGGAAGAGTCCAGGAGATATAAATAGAAACCAAATTGATTATGTAATGATTAGAGACAGATTCAAAAACAACATAAAGAACGCCACAACATACCCAGGTGCGGATATAAATTCAGATCACAACCCTGTGGTAATAAAAATACAAATTAAACTTAAAAACACAGGAATAAAAACACAAAGGTCACCCCACATAGACATATCAGCTTTGAAATAGCCAGAAATAAGCCAGCAGTACCTAGTGGAGGTTAAAAATAAATATGACAGATTAATAGTTGAAAGCATGAAACAATATCGACGGGAGAATCCAGAGGACAAAATTAATACAAAATGGGAATGTTTCAAAACTAGTATAGAAACAGCTAATGCCATCTTACCAGTGAAAGAAAACAAGAAAAATCAAGTGTGGACGACTGAGGAAATTATTAACAAAATGACACAAAGGAAGAAAGCAAAAAACACTCCGGAATATTCATTAATAGACAAAGAAATACGAAATATGTGTAGAACTGCGAAGGAAACATGGATTCAGTTAAAATGCAAAGAAATAGAGGATCTTGAAATAAAACACAGAACCAAGGAAATGCATGCAAATATAAGAAAACTTACAAACAAGGAAAAACATTTAACAGGAAATGGTTGTATTAGGGGGAAGGATGGAAAAATTATTGTTGATAAAAAAGATATAATAAAAAGATGGACTGAATACACAGAAGACCTGTTTTGGGTCAACAGAGGTGACAAACCGCCAATCCATAATATTCAAGAGGGACCAAATATATTAAAGTCTGATGTAGAAAAAGCCATTAAACAGATGAAGCAGGGAAAAGCTGCAGGTCCAGACAACATAACTGCAGAAATGTTAAAATCATTATCTACTTTTGGAATTGATACTATCACAGAAATATGCAATGACATTTATAACTATGGGTACATTCCCAGGGACATGAAAACATCTGTTTTTATCACACTACCCAAGAAATCAAAAGCTGTTGATTGTGAAGATTACAGAACTATTAGCCTAATGATTCACGTACTAAGTTACTCTTGAAGATAATACAAACAAGAATTCAAGATAAAATAGAGAAAGAAGTTTCTGAAGAGCAATTTTGATTCCGTAAAAACAGTGGTACTCGAGAGGCCATAATTTGTCTAAAGATGCTGACTGAAAAATATATAGAAGTTCAGAAAAATATTTATGCATGTTTTATAGATTAAAAAAAAAGCTTTCGACAGAGTGCAATATGAACAATTAATTGCAGCTCTTCAAAACATAGGACTAGATGGAAAGGATATCAGACTTATTAGAAACTTATACTGGGAGCAAGAAGCAACAGTTAGATATGACAACATCTGCTCACACCAGATAGAGATCAAGAGAGGAGTAAGACAAGGATGTGTGCTGTCGCCTAGCCTTTTCAACTTATGTACAGAAACATTTTTAAAGAAATTGTAGAATTACCAGGACTGCCCATCAATGGTAGAATAATAAACAATCTGAGATATGCTGAAGACACAGTGTTGCTAGCAGAGAGTGAGCAGGAATTGCAAGACATAGTGGAGCAAGTAAACAGAAGGAGTGCAGAATTTGGATTAGATATACATTTGAAAAAGACAAAAACCATGATATTTAGCAAAGAAAATAATCAGCTAACAATGAATATCACAGTGAACGGGATGAAATTGGAACAAGTTAAAAATGTCTTATATCTTGGACAAGTAATAACATGTGACGGCAGAAGTGAAACAGAAGTCAAGAAAAGAATAGGGATGGCCAAAAACATTTTCAACAAAATTCAAAAGTTACTGACATCAAGAGAAATAAGCAATACATTAAAAATGAGAATTGTCAAATGTTTTGTATTCTCAACCTTACTGTATGGCATAGAGACATGGACAATGAACAAACAACTGGAAAATCGTATCAATTCTTTGGAGATGTGGATGTACAGAAGATTAGGTCGTATTTCATTTAAACAAAAGCTGTCAAATACAGAGGTACTGAGGAAATTGGGAATGAAAAGAGAGTTGCTAGGGGAAATAAAAAAGAGACAAGTGAAATAGTTTGGCCACATTAAAAGACATAACAGTATTGTAAATATCATCCTAGGAAAGGTTCAAGGTAGTCGAGCAAAAGGCAGACAGCGTTACAAGAGGGAGGATAACATCAAGAGATGGACGAACAGCAATATGAGTGAGTGTACATCAAGGGCAAGAGACAGGGCTTGCAGCCAACCTTCATTGTGGAGGCGGCACCTGATTGATTGATAGATAATGAAAGCGGCAGTAACGACAAACTAGCAAGTGCACACGTATTTCTCCATATTGATAATACATGTGTGTGGTGTCATTACAATTATGCTATTTGCACTAGGTGACCCTGTGTAACACTAAAAATGTTTGCGTTGAAATTACACAAATAATCCCTGTTTAACAACAAAGGATACCATACATTAAATGTTTACTTTAAAGTACTCGTAATCGTAGAAAACAAACAAAAATGTCAAGCTTTGGCCGCTTGAAGGGCGGCTTTATTAAGGACGGTTTCTCTGCTATCTGAGCTTGATTTTTTTTTTATCTGTTTGGCGATCAATGTCATCTGAGTTTGGGTTATTGATAACATGTCCGACGTGGTCTGGCTTTTGATGAGGCTGTTGTTCCTGGCGTTTGGGAGGGAATTTGAAGGACTTCATCTTGTGTCTATTCTATGGACAGCCCTCACTAAGCACCCCCAGGAAGTAATCTATTGGCAATGGGCCGCAGTCCCCGAAACATGCCAATGGTCTGCTCAAATACCAAGACCTCAATGGTTTCTCCAGACATGTACAGACTAGGTAAGAACTGTCACTCATTTCTAAGGTATACAGACCCGTTAATGACCTTAATGCAAGTGGTAGTCGAGTCAATCTTGTACCTTTTAGAGAAAGAGAATCGAGATTGGTCAGACAAGAAAAAGCTGCTGTTGAAATCTTAGATATTGGGTTGTAGTCCAACCAAAGAGAATCCATTACAGTGTTTACAGGGAAACTAGTGTCAGTGAGTTCGGTTATTAGATTTCTTGAAATGTCGAATTCCGAAACGTTGGAAGGTATATTGTCGCCTGAGAGACTGGTTACAGAGTTACCCATCAGCCGGAGATATTTTAGATTGATTGCTCCTGAGAGAAAACCGGCAAGAGATCTGATATTGTTGTTCTCAGCTTCAAGATATGTGACTGCAGGTGAGATTGATCCCGAACTCGTGTCGGAGATAAGGTTGTGCGAGAGAAAGACTGACTGTAGTTTTGTTATGAAGGACAAGTCTGGAAAACTGTTGAGCTGGTTTCCCTCGGCCTGAAGGTAGGTAAGGGAATTTGATACAGATCTCAGTACATCGCTTAAATGTGTGGCATCAGACAAACGGTTGTACTGAATACTTATGGATGATAGAATACCGAAATTTGGAAGTTTGCTTATTTTTGAAATATTATTATAATCTAACACTAATGATGTAAGTGCGGAAAGTTTAGAAAAGGTGAGCAATGTTTCTGTCAGATTGCCGTTAAGTAATTGTAGAGAAGTTAATGTGTTGGTCTGTTTGTCAAACGCATTGTCTGGAATTGACTTGAAAGAACTTGTCATCTCGAGTGTTTGAAGATGGGGACAGTACTGTATCCAGTCAGGCCACGATGTCAAGCTGACATTGTCCAGAGTCAGATACATCAGAGTGGAACCAATGTGCTTCATCATGTCAACGTCCCACTGAAGTATCTGAGTATCTTGAATAGAGAGGCTCATCAGTGCCTTCAAGTGAGTCAGTGCAGCAGGAATCTGGGTGAATTTGGCATCTGAAAACGAAAGCTTGCGCAAGGTCTCTGAAGATCCGTCGAATGCTGTGGGGTCTATAGTTAGCAACGGGTTGTTCCGGAAGTTAATTTCAGACAGCCCTACAGGTAGACTTCCATTTTCTATTGTCGTCAGAAAATTATACTGCAGAAGGTAAGATCATTATGATTAACTGAAAGTGTACAAAAGAAACAAGTTTTTTTTTTTTTTTAGAAAATATATATATATATTGATTTTTTGTGTTTTGTTTTGTATTTTGGAAAACAAATGTAAGATAGCAAGATCGTGACAGCGTACTTTAACCAATGCCGTCATCTGTGGCTTAGGCGTTGCGAACGCACTTCGTAATACCAGGGTGCCCGGTTCGATCCCAGCTTGCACCTTGTGTTGGTTTCGACAGTGGTATCGAGAAGATGACCATGCAGAAAGCAATGGCAAACTACTGGACGTTAATATGTTTTCAAAATCCTCAACATACAAACAATGCTGGGGTTGGTTCTGTAATGTCCTGTAAACTAACTTTTAACTTTAACCAGTGAAATTTTAAAAGATCTCAACATCAAGGAAGATGGGCTTATAAACAGCATCTTATTTTTGAAACTGAAATATTTTGATCATATCAAGCGCCATTAGTTAGTTAGTTAGTTAGTCTTTCCTCTTGTGTCGAGTGCGGCACATAGGGCAGAGGTCATGACTCTCCATGCATGGCGGTTCGTTGCAATCTGTTGTAGGTCTTGGATATTTGAGTGGCCCATGAGTGAGCCTTCCCTGATGATAGTTCTACGTAGGGTTTCCCTTGGTCTTCCACGAGATCTTTTCCCCAGTGGTGTCCAAATGAGGGCTTGGTAAGGAAGTCTTGATTTATCCATTCTGAGGGCGTGGCCGACATAGTTCCAGCGGCGTTTTCGTATAAAATTAGACACATACTCTTGCCTGGATTCTTGCCTTATTTGTGTATTGGTTCGGAAATCTGACCATTTGAAATTTAGTATTCTTCTAAGGCATTTATTTTCAAAACTGTCTAATTTTGTGTCTAGAGTTTTCGTTGATTTCCAGCTCTCGCATCCATAGGTTAGTACTGGAATCACACAAGCGCCATTGCAGACTGGAAAAAAAAATAGCAGATATGCTACCAGGAAGGAGGGGCAGAGGCCGACTAACACGAAGATAGACACATGATGGAAGTGACTCCTTGAATAGGAAAGTACACGAAGCGGGACAGCTGGCAAGACAACCAAGTTTCACGCAGACAGTGATGTGAGCGTCGTTCCTCAAAGGACCTGCTACATGACGATGGTGATGATGATGATGACTTTAACCAGAAAACTATCTAAAGATTGTTTGAATATTTTTACTTCTTCCATGCCACCGACTTCATTCCCTCAGGTTATCAGTTATGTTAGCTCTACTAACTGTCTCGAGAGCAGCAAGTTTCTAAGGAGTCCCCAAAGGTTGTCCTCGATGTTTTTTCGCTCTGACCAAGTGTCTCCTCTCAGGCTGTGCAGTAGGGAGCAGTTCTGCAGTGTGTGCTAGGCTCTTATGGGCTAAAATTCCATTGGCAGTTACAAATCGAAAAGAGTAGCCTAACGGCGCTGCCCGGGCAGAATTTGGAGTCAAAAATTTAGCCAAAGTATTTCAGGATCCCCGCCGGTGTTACAGGGCCAGTGCACTGTGCTGAGCTTCTTATGACTGAGACTTGAGTTAGAGAGAAGAACGGTGCACTTATGGGTTACTACACGTGTGCCTTGATATTGATCCGTTGTTCAAACCCTAAACCACAGACATGTTTTGTATCTTACGCAAAGTAGGAACTGTGGTGCATTTGTCTCCTCTTGCATTTGAAACCAGTCGATGCACTTTGATAACACTGTTTCTGCTTCTGGGTGGCTTGTTGTAGGCTTTTTTTAGTTAAGAACTGATCCTTTATCGTTATGATTTTGTTTTCTTTCGACGATGACGAATAAAAGAAACTGGTGGTTAAACAAATGACAGTTAATCGAAATTGTAAGGTACAATTAAAATATGTAGCTACACCTACTTGTAAGTTCAAAGATGGTGATTCCTCCGTATCTGAATACACAAGTTTTGGCAACGTCTTCCAGTTGGCACCTTCGCAGTTAATACCACCCCTGAAACATTCACAACCCTGTGGATAAATTGCAGACATGTCTGGAAGTCTCTTGCAACAGCAGGGGAGCCAATACAAAGAAGATGTGGTGTTGCCCTAGCCCCTTACACATTTTGAGGGGGGGGGGGGTTAGCGGGTGGATGGGCAACACCCAAGTGCATAATAATAATAATAATAATAATAATAATAATAATAATAATAATGAGCTGAATAGCATAATAAAATATCTTTGGGAGAAAAAAATGAAGAACAGCCAGACATACTAGTTTCCTATCAACAGAAGAAGAGAATAATCAAATCACTCAGAACGCCAGTAAAGCTGGCACATGACGATTACTATATTATGGACAGACATGTCATTATTCTACGCCTTAGAACAGGGCACAATCAACGTTGTACAAAACACAAAATTTAAGATTGGCGAATCAGCCATGTGCACATGTAGATTTGCACCTGAGACAACAGATCCTGTCTTCCAAAACTGTCCCAAATAAAATAAAACATGTCACGATAAAATTTTTGGCCAGAAGAAATACTTGTGGAAGTGAGACTGAGTGAATTACACTGGTTTGAGGTTTGAGGTTTGAACAACGGAACGACATCATAGTACACGGGTAGTAACCCGTAAGTTCTTCGTTCTTCTTCAAACTAAAGTCTGAGTCCGAAGAAGCTTAGCACAGTGCAACGGCTCTGTAGCACCAGCAAGGATCCTTAAATATTTTGGGTAGATTTTAACTTCAAATTGCCCGAGCGTTAGGCTGCTCTTGTCGATTTCCAACTACCAAGAGATTTTTTTACATTCGCAACAATGCGCAAGGGCGTCTGATCTCAATACGTAGAGATCAGGGGTAAAAAGTCCAAGTCCACGTGAAAAAAAAACCCAGCCCTTACCGGGGATTGAACCCGGAACCTCTAGCTCTGGACCTAGACACTATGCTTCGAGACCGCGCAGCCCCCTTGAGTGAATTACACAAGATAGTGAAGTTCATACCAGAGACAGCATTGCAAATAAAGATACTCTATTTTTTTTTTTTCCAAGTGAACGAAAAAGTAGATGCACTCCGACTCCAAAAGAAATCCTTTATTGGTCGAGTTTTGCGACACGTTCTTGGGTCTATTCTTCTCTCTCTCTCTCTCTCTCTCTCTCTCTCTCTCTCTCTCTCTCTCTCTCTCTATCTATCTATCTATCTATCTATCTATCTATCTATCTATCTATCTATCTATCTATCTATCTATCTATCTATCTATCTATCTATCTATCTATCTATCTATCTATCTATCTATCTATCTATCTATCTATCTATCTATCTATCTATCTATCTATCTATCTATCTATCTATCTATCTATCTATCTATCTATCTATCTATCTATCTATCTATCTATCTATCTATCTATCTATCTATCTATCTATCTATCTATCTATCTATCTATCTATCTATCTATCTATCTATCTATCTATCTATCTATCTATCTATCTATCTATCTATCTGTCTGTCTGTCTGTCTGTCTGTCTGTCTGTCTGTCTGTCTGTCTGTCTGTCTGTCTGTCTGTCTGTCTGTCTGTCTGTCTGTCTGTCTGTCTGTCTGTCTGTCTGTCTGTCTGTCTTCTTCTTCTTCTTCTTCGCGTTCACCAGCTGTAAACTCAGGTGGAAGGTTGTGGTTGCTCGTCCACTACTGAACTGCAGTCCTGCTCCAGAGCTTGAGTGTTGCGTGTGCATCAGTTTTACAGATCTCATTCTCTTGAATACAGACT